ATATTTTACAGATTAAGATCTTAGCAATAACATAACATCACATTATCATTGTCACCACCATCACTATTACAATCACTACATTAATTTTAAAATCACAAATAAATATAAAAATTAAAAATATATAAAATTAAAAAATTTCATAAAAAATATTTTTTCATCAAAACAAATGGAGCATTAATGCTCATTTTTCATGGGACCAAGAACAATACTAATCAAAATTCTAGAAAAGCTTTTTGAGGATTCACAAAACCAAATAGAGTAAGAATTTATAAAAATTAATTACTCATCTACTAATTGGTGGCTGTAGTTTAGTGGTAAGAATTCCACGTTGTGGCCGTGGAGACCTGGGCTCGAATCCCAGCAGCCACAGTTTTGAAATTCCTTTAGTTCTTTTTTTTTTATTTTTATTTTTTTTTGGGTGTAAATTCATTATTATTTGGAAAATTTAAATATAAATCCAATCTTGAAGAATGGTAATCAATTTAGTCATAATAATTTTTTTAGAGGGCTGATATTTACCCTCACCTAATTACTTTGACCCACCCACTTCTTTAAATCCCCACTTAGCAAAATGAAACCATTATATTTTTTCTTTAAGACCCCGTTTGTTTGGGGTTATAGGGAGGGAATTGGGATTACTAATCCCTTGATATTACTAATAAGGTGTTTGTTTTGAAAGATGAGGAGGGGACTATTAATCCCTTGGTATTAGTAGTCCCCTTGGAAGGAGGATTGGTAAGGAGGAGATAGAGATGGTATTAGAAAAATAGTGAGGGGATTAGAAATTTTTTTATTTTTTATATATTGGGAATTTTTTTTTAAATATTAATGTTTAATTTTTTATATTTTTTTATTTGTTTTATTATTTTATATAAAAATAATTTAACAATTCCTCACTATTAATCCCCTCACTATCAATCCCCTCCATTCTATCTCTGAAAACAAACGAGGCCTAAACCTCCACCGTAATACCAACTATACCCCTAATCCCAAAACAAAACCCCAACCCTAACTCCTTCCATTTCTCTCTCTAATCTGGATTTCCTCTTTGTTTTCTTGCATTCAAATCAAGTACAAGTGAAAAACAGAGCAAAAGAAAAGACTTATCAACAATGGCTACCATTAAAACCTCTATCATAGGCTATAGCGAGTGATTTCTTGTATTCATTCTCCCTCTTCTCTCTTTTCTTCGTCATCTTCTTTTGAAAACCTTAGGTTTTCATCTCTCTCTCTCTCTCTCGCGCATGCGCGCGCTCATTCTCTCTCGTAATGGATAGGGAGGTCACGATAGCGAAATGGGTTCGATGACATAATGTCGAACAAATCCTAAATGTTTAGCAACACAATTTTGAACAAATCCTGAATGTTCGAAAACACAGCACTAAACAAATCCTTTTAGTTCGATAACACAATGCTAAATGGGTTGATATCTTTTTTCTGGTTCAGATCTGCAATAGGAGATGAGGGTGCTTGTCGGTGAAGGTGATGGCTGATTGCGACGAAGAGAGTGGTGGTTGTGATGGTGAGAAGTGGCCAGAGATGGAAGAGGTTGTAGTTATGAGGGGTGGTTAGAGATGGTGGTGGTTGTGGCGGTGAGAGGTGGCCGGAGATGGTGGTATTGCCGGAGGTGATTAGGGTTAGGTTAGAGTTTGGAAAATTAGGTTTAAAAGATTAGGAATGAGGGTAAAAGTGGAATTTTTGATTAGGACAAAATTGGGATTTTAAAAAAAATGAATGAGGTGGGGGTTCTAAGAAGAAAGATGGGGGTTAATAGCAATGTTTTTTTTTTATAAACCAATTAATCCTATTGATTTTGAAAAAGTAGATTTAATATATTATTTAAAATTCGAGCTTACGATTATATCTTTATTTCTATTATATTTCTTTTCTTTTCTGTAAGAAAAGTAAGATACATAACCTATGAGAATCAAATTTAGAATGAATTTTTTATATGTTAATTTTTTTTATTTGGAATGACTTAAAATGTGAACATTCCAAAAAGAGTATAAAAAAACTCATTAGTATATTTTTCCTAAACGTAATAGTCCAATGTAACACTCTAAAAAAAACTTCTTAGTGTAATTCTCAAATGTAACATACAAAAAAATTATTTAGTGTACTTTTCCCAAACGTAACATTCCAAAGTAATACTAAAAAAAACTACTTAGTATAACACTCCAATGTAACATACAAAAATATTCCTAGTGTACTTTTCTGAACGTAATGCTCCAATGTAACACTTCAAAAAAACTCCTTAGTGTAATACTGTAATGTAACATACAAAAAAAAACTCCTTAGTGTATTTTTCTCAAACGTAACACTCCAATATAACACTTCAAAAAAATATATAGGATTCTTCAAACCATTCCAAAAGGATGTGGGATTCTTCAAATCATTTCAAATGGAATACAAAAATTTCTTAGTAAATTTTGGACAAATGTATAATTTCAAACTGTATGTGTTACGTTTGAAAAAAAATATACTGAGGAGTTTTTGAGTTTTTTGCGCTCGTGCGCGCGCGTGTGTGTTACATTGGAGTGTGTTACATTTAGAAAAAATATACTAAGGAACCTTTTCATGTGTTATATTATAGTGTATTATATTGAAGTATTATGTTTGAGAAAAGTATATAAGTAATTTTTTTGGAATGTTATGCTGTTACGTTTGGGAAAAGTACACTAAGGAGCTTTTTTGTGTATTACATTAGAGTGTGTTACATTAGATTATTACATTTGAGAAAAATATATTAAGGAGTTTTTTTGAAGTGTTACGTTGTTACGTTTGGAAAAAATACATTAAGGAGTTTTTTTTATGTGTTATGTTATTGGAGTGTTACGTTCTTACTCATAATGTAAATTTGTTCTAAAATGAGGAAAAATCCAAAACCTCTATAGTACGGATTGCCCAAATGTATAATTTTACATTTTGAGAAACCCACTTTTACCTCTCAAAAATTAAATCAAAAAGTGTAAGTGACTACCCTTTTATGTAATTTTCACTTTAATGAGATATTTGAGTTCATAAACAAAAAAGAAAAAAGAAAGGATTAAACAGTTCACAATATCACATTTTGAAATTTATTCAGCTTGTTTGGTTTCATAACTCAAGATTCACTTTTCAAAAAATTGAAATTTTTTATTTTTCTTATTTTTTTGTTTTTACTGAATTTTTTTAATATTTTAAGTAATAGATACACCTAACATAAATACACTTAAAAAGTATAATATTTGTGAAACAAATCTTTAAAAAATTCACTAATACCAAAAATACAAAAAAAAAATACGAAAAGTCAGTATATTTTTTGTATTCTTGTGTATTTATAAATTTTTCAAAACATTTTTTTACAAATATTTTACTTTTTTAGATACATCTAAATAAAGTGCATCTAAAAAGGTAAAAAAAATTGCTTACAATTTTAAAAATATTCACTAAAAAAAAACACGAAAAGCAAAAAACTCAATTTTTAAAAAATTGAATTTAAAAAATTGAAACCAAACATAGTGATTAATATTTCACCCTTATTATTTTTTGAAATTTTGAAACAAAAACTTAAAAATTTACTATAATTTTTTTAAAAATAAAAATGTTTTCACTTTTTTTAAAACAAGGTTTCATTCTTAGAAGTGGTCAACAAAGCCTAGCCCTGTTTTATAATTTCTTTCATATAAGCCTTTTTTTTTTGAGGTCATAATAATTTCTCCACAATCACATTAAAGGTTTATAAGAATACATTACTCCACATTTAAATGGTGGCTGTAGTTAGTGTTGGACAATTTTCACTGTATTTAAATAGAATTAAATTTTGTTGTGTACAAAATAACAACAAGAATAAAAGAAATAGAGAAAATGAGAGAATTTGTTTGATTACAAAAATCAAACTCGAAATAAAAATAAATAAATAAAACCACAGATTTTATTTTGTTACAAAAACAAAAATAAAATCTGATTAAATAAACAGAATAAAAATCAGAATAAAATTAAACAACTTATTTGGTTAATTTATTTGAATAACTTTTCTGATCAAGTCCAGTGTTAAACACTGTGTCCTTAAGACAGATTCGTCTTCTCCACGGTGCTTTCAGAATTTGGACGTCTATCTCCCAGGATGAAATGATCTTACCACAAACAATAGCAGCACTACAAATTGTTTGCCTTACGAACACACTAAGTGTTTACACTTCTTTCGGAAATAAAATGCAGCAAGATGAAGAATATAATTAGCAGAAGTGAAATACGAAATTTCTGAATAGAAAACATCAAATGAGGGTGGTCCTATTTATAGATGTGAAGGTGGCTCTTGGTTTTGAATTGAACAGGTATGAAACCTTTAGATTCAAATTTAAACAGATTTGAATCTTTTATTCAAACAGATAGAAACGGAAGGGCCCTATTTGGATGAACAATAAATCCAAACCAGTTTAATTTGAATTCTGGATTTATTTTAATAAAAAATAAAATTAAATTCAAATGTTTTTGTGCCCAAAAAGATTAGAAGCCCAAACCCAGACGACGGCGGCAGCCGCGTGTGGTGATTTTTGGGTTCAATGGGTTCTAGCCCATTTTGCCCATAACCTCTCCCTCTAAAACACTTGGGTACCCCTTGGGGACACACCCCAAGTATCTCACCCTAAGCCTTATAAACCTTTCAAAAACTTCCCACCAAATCAGTGGGGACAAGCCAATTTACCACCTTAAGGAATTTCCACCAAAACTCCATTTCCATGGAGCACATTTGCTTCATTTCCCATTCACTCGGTAATGGTTTTGAGCAACCAAATATACCACGTGAATCACAACGCGGCATAGAACGCGTTACCACTTTGACCCGAGTAAATCGACACTCGGGGCCCACCTAAAAAATAGACCGAACTTAGAAAAAAATTCTGATTTTATCCAGAATTTTATAACCATTTCCAACAGTTAGTGGTGAGAATTCTACGTTGTGGCCATGGAAACCTGAGCTCGAATCCCAGCAACCACATCCTTACACTTTTGATTGAAGAACGAAATATTTTTTTTGTGTTTTTTGCCAGAAAAATATGTTGAAACTTGAAGTGGTCTCGTACATAGCATGATCTCTCTTATTCAAGATAAGCTTGCAACCATACATGAAACTAAAATAAGCATGACAAAGCCTAGCCCTGTTTCATGATTTTTTATTTTAATGTTACAAAGTTTATCACTAACATGAAATTTTACACTGAACTGATACTTTCCCGATAAACAGATGTGTTGTTTTGAGCATAGACATCCCAAGCCCGCCCTGCACCAAAATTGAGTTGAAATTTTGGTTGCCCATCAGGATAGAACTGCCCAAAGTGTTTTTCAAGCTCAGGACTTTTATTGTTCTCATCAAACATAGCAAACAAGTAAGTTTCAATGGGTCCATTAGGCCTCCTCGGGGTACCTCCATTAACATGTTGAATCAAATTAGAGTTATAAGTGAATTCATTATCAAGTGTAGCCGCAAACCCACCGTCCGATGGCCACCCACTCTCCGACACCACCACCCCCAGCGACCATCCCCCGGCCCCCTCAATGGCGACGTAAAGAGCATCCAACATAGCATCAAACAAGTTTTGGTACTCATATGGGCCGTCAGTAACGACCACCGACGGCGACGTGAACGAGGCGTATTCCAACGAGATGTCGGTAGGATCGCCGGAGTAACTAAAATAAGGGTATATATTTGCGAGTAAAGGAGAATTTGTTTGGACTAAGAACCCGATAATTGGGTCTATATATTGCGTCACATCACCTCTAAAAGAGCCTTGTGATGGGGGGAATGATTGGCCGAGTAATGAAAAGGCAATCGCGGTCGAGACTCCTATTTGGCCCTGAAGCCCGGCGGATGAAATGGCGTTGTATATGTTTTGCATGGCAGAAAGTACAAACTGAGATGGGTCGCCGTTGGCGGGGTCCACCTCGTTTCCAACGGCAATGTAACGGAATGAGACGTCAGGGAAGTTGAAGACGTTGTTTTGGACCCATGAAAGTGCGGTGGAAGGGTCGGAGAGGGATTGGAGGTCGGAGTTAGGGACGCCGAGGATGAGTTGGATGTTGGAGCCTCGGAGGGCTTGGAGGGTGGGTTGGTCTGGATTGTAGATTCTCATACTGTTGATGTTGTTTGATTGGTAGAGAGATATGACTTGTGGTGGAGATGGTAGATTGTTGCCTTGCATTCCATAACAGACTCCTACAGACTCTACACCTGCATAAATTGAACACAAATGCTAAATATCTTAAATTTTAACTGAAATGAGTTATGTGGAGTAGATATATTTAAAATTCGTATGTGAGGTAAGTTCCATTTAGGGCAAATTACAAACACCCCGCGAGGTTTGATAAAAATACAGATTCTCCCCTGAGGTTTGAGAAATTACAAATTGCCCCCTGAGAGTCAAATTTTCATAACAAATTAGGAGAAATTAGGGGGGAATCTGTATGAAAATAAAAACCTCAGGGGGCAATTTGTTATGGAAATATAAACCTCAGGGGGCGGGATGTAATTTCTCAAACCTCAGGGGAATCTGTATTTTCACCGAACTTCAAGGGGGTGTTTGTAATTTGCCCTTTCATTTAATAATATATCTTTATTCATGGATATATTTTTTTGAATTTGTAATATTATTATAAATTAAAACACTTGTTATTCATTTTCAATCGTTAACATACCCCACACACCTTATCACCGAATCCGACTATCACCAACTCCGGTCACTATTATTGGTAACCTCCTCAGACAACAACCTCACACCACACCATCTTCGGCAACTAAACCACTTTCCCGCCCCTGCCCCCGGCCCCCACCAATTAAATGGAAACCAGCGACGGGCCGACTTTATCTACCCAAAAATTTTTACCTAAAAGGTTGCAAAGTAGGTTCAAAATGAGTAGCCAGCAAGGCCAACTTTGCCAACAACCACTTCGTCTCCACTTTTGATTATAATTTTTTATCGCAGACAATCACTTTATCTTTGGTTGATCATTCATTTTATTTGTTTTTAAAATAAATTTATGATTTGTGAGTGTAATCAAATTTTTTTTAATCCTTTTATTTTTTGCTAAAAATAAATATAAACATAAAAATATACTCTTTAAACAAAAAAAAAAAATTGTACACTTTACCAAACACACCCTAATTTCAAATTTTCACTTCGATCACATGCAGCCAGGAGAGCATGCATGGCCTCGGAGAGAGAGAGAGAGAGACCTGTAATTTGAAAGTCTTGGATGAATAACGATCCCAGTAGAAGCATTGAAGCAGCCATCAAAGAACTATGACTCATTCTACTTGAGGTAGCCATGGAGAAGAACAGCAATTTCAATTTGGATTGAAGAGCATTTAAGCTTGTTGATTTTCATCACTACCATTTGGGCTCTTTATACAGTCATATATGACTTAAAATAAAACAAAATACTTTTCTAAGACGACTTAGAGATGCCCAATTTCAACCACCATTCATTACCCCTTCAACAAAACATGCAATCTGTGCATTTTTCTAATGTCATTATTTTATTTTTTTATAGTACAAATAAAATTTATTTGGTGAAAAAATATTTTTTAAATTTTTTGGAGCTGCTATTCCTATTCTAAAATGGAAAACATTAAAAGGTTCCCAAAATATTACCTCTAAATTTATTTATAATAATCAGGTCAATGTGGATAAATTTAAAACTAATACTTTAAGATTCTTTAGCATTATTCTTTTTAAGCACTTCTATAGCTATAAACTCATAACAAAACACATTATAATCACTACAACAAAATGCACCTTTGACGACTAAAAAAAATTTAGTCCCCAAAAGTTATGGAATTGGCGACCAACATTTTTTTTAGTCGACAAAAGTAAAATATTTAGTTACTAATTTTTTTTTAATCGGGGTATATTCATTATTGGCAACTAAAAAAAATTAGTCGCTGAAAATGCCAGAATTGGCGACAAAAAAAAAAACTTGGTCGATGCATATTGACTTTTGGCTACTAAAATATTTAGTCGCCGAATGGGAAATAAAAAAATTATTTTTCTCTTTGGCGACTAAAGTTTTAGTAGCCAAAAACTTACTTTCAGTGGAAAAAAAAAATTAGTTGCTGTATATTGACTTTTGGCTACTAAAATATTTAGTCGCTGAATGAATAATACAAAAATAATTTTTCTCTTTGGCGACTAAAGTTTTAGTCACCAAAAACTTACTTTCAACGACCAAAAAAAAAATTAGTCGCCGTATATTGATTTTTGACTACTAAAATATTAGTCGCTGAATGAAAAATATATATATATATTTTTTATCTTTGGTAACCTATCTTCAGCGACTAAAATTTAGTCGGAAGATGTGTTCAAAATTTTACTGGGAAATATTTCATATTGGCGCCTAAATTTTTGCCCAAATCTATTACTTCTTCACACAGTTCTTTCCCTCTCTTGCTCTCTTTCTGTCTCTCTCTCTCACACAAAGAATCAATCACCACCGCCCCTCATCTCAGCATCGCACACAACCAATTGGGAAGAACCTAATCGTTGATATCAAGAGTTTTGGGGTTTCGAGAGTTTTGTTGCCGAGAGAGATATTTGGGAAGAACCCAATCATTGATATCGCTGATGGTGGCGCTCAGCCGCCAGATGTTTCATTATCGCTGGAGAATTCATCGGAATTGTATGTGTCGCCGAGTCATTTGTTATCGCCGCTGGGTCAAGAAATCTGATCTGAAGTGGCTGGGAATAGCATACAGAGATTTGTTCTTGCTCTTTGTTGTATGGCATTGTATCTATGGGTACGAGATTGATCATTTCTTATCATAATTGTTACTTTTTTCTTTCTTTTTTTCTGAGTTTGTTTGTGTGTTTTTGCAATTGATTATCATACGAGTAATTGAATTTGGGGCTACAAAATTAGCCCTTTTTTTTCTTTTTTACTCTTCTGATGATGACGTTCATTTTGTTGATTTTGAAATAATTTAGATGAAATAGGACCAATTTTGCTTGTAGAATTGCATTTTGTTGTTGTAAAAAGATTGAATTTTGATCATTGTTATCAACTCAATTGTGGATTTTGAATAAGCATATATTTGGGGTTTCTTTCTAGTGCGTGTTCATTTTGATGTCTAATTGTAACAAAAAAAATTATATAATTCTAACATATAATAAAAAAAATTTAATTAGTTGTATGTATTTTATTTTAAGAATAATACTAGCAATTTGATATGAGTAAGTATAGTATATTTTTTGAAAGCTAATCAAATTCATTGGTTGTTGAAAAAGTCATTCAGACATTAAAATTTGAACTTCCTAGATTATTAGTTAGTGTTTCTACAAGTTAGGATAGCAACCATAGAATATTGAGTTAAATAATAACTAAAAGCCCCATTATTAGTTTATGAGTTGCACTATAGAGTTTTATGTGTACTTGACATGTTTGCTCGAGGCATGTCCAGTTAGTCATGTCAAACACATGTACCTTATCCAAGTGTTGCATGTCCAACACAACTACTTCATGCTTTTAGAGAAGTCCGTGTAACATATATAGTAAATGTGACATGTTAGAGAAATTGAAGACTCTCACACATGCATGTGTGCGCATACAATACAACTATACACCTAACTTCAGCAAAAGATATAGAGTGCTTGAATCCTCAACTTTATCATCCTAGAAGTCCAAAGCAAACCCTATCTTCTTCAAGAGAATGTCCATGATTTGCCAGCGCGTAGCCTGATTCATTCTCTTCCATAGAACAAAATTAAGAAATTAAGCCATTAATGGCTATTTTAAAATCCCCAGAGGCCTCATAATTCCACCACTACAACTACTGTTTTGTCTACTTGGTAGTAATTCTGTAATCCAAGTATAATTCCAAACTCTAAAAATAAGCCCAGTGAGTTCTAGTAACCATTAATCAAATTGTCAAAGTTCTTCAACCAATCATAGAAATAGAAAGAGTTCCATTTAGTTGAGTTCAACAAAGTAATAAAATAGGCGTAACATAGCAACGGCTTGAAAAAAAGAGACAGCAAGACAATTCCATTATGAATAAATTACAGGAAGTGATAGTATAGAGTGATGCATCCCATCACCCCTATAAGTCTCAAGAAGAAAGAGGAATGTTGATTGTTGTGAGACTAGGTGCATGCAGATTGTTACAATGTTACTTAAGATTAATAGTGCTAAAAGAATTTAAAAAATAGGATTTGCTACTTGGAAGATGAAGATAAAACAAAGTGAATAGAGTTTGGTGCCCCAGCTTCTAGACCAAACGCTAGCATTTCCCCTCAATATTATAAGCGCCACTATGGCCCCCTGAGCTGTTCCTAATAGGCATATCCAAGTAGTGAGGGAGAGCTCAGTGGGATATATCTTTAGCGAGATTGCCTAGAGCAACATAAACAAATATAATTATGATCTCAGATAAAATTTGACTCCGTTCAATTTGGATGATAACACCAAACAGTTTTAAACTCGCACCTCACTATGTATATGTGCTCAAATTGTCAGTTAATGTAGAATGAAACATCAAACGCTTTGTTCCCATAGGCAATGCCTTATTCATATCAATTACAATAGATCTACTATGTGTGCTCAAATTGTCAGTTAAGGTGATTGGCTTGTTTAAACTGAAAATTTTAATATATATATATATATATGAATGAACAAAAAACAATCTAGGGGTGATCTGGTCATTTGGACATTTCATTTCATTCTATGCAGTATTATCTACTGAATATCATGTTATAGCTCTTCCTTCCTGTCTCTCTCGATTTGGTTATTGAAATTGTAAGCAAGAAACTACACGTTTAAGCAAGAAGTTGGCTGATCTGTTGCTTATTTGTGTTGTATGTGTGTGTATATATGTATAGAAAGGATCTAGCTACTTTTTCTAAGTAATCTTGTTGTAGCCATCAATTTCTGAGGATAAAATTAGTTTTCATTTTGCCATTTCTAATGAGAATGTGAACATGTGGAATTCTAGATGGTTTTTTAAGCATGTACTAGCTATAAGGTAATCTTACTGTTTCCACAATAAGTTTCCTGAACATTCTTTAAGATTATTGGTCATTTTTTATTCTCCATGATTGCAATTCAGAAAATTTGAATAATCACTGTGGCATTTAAATTGAACATATTACAAGGGCAAATGGCCATATCGAACTTTTGTACCCAACCAAAATAGCAGGGACTAAAATGTTCTGAAGTTAAATGAACAACACTTTGTATTTTGAGTTTTTTCCTCTTCCAAATCCCTTTAATGGCTCTCATCTTCAAATCTTGTGCATGTAGAAACAGAGAATCCACAATGGCATGGATCACACTCTGACCTAATGACACTCAAATTCTTAGTAAGCTAGATCAATTTGGTTATTTTGCCCACCCACCCACACACCCCCTCTTTATGTATATACATATACATATATGCATATGTGCTCCAAAAAATCAGTTCCACACCCAAGTTAGAGAACATTATCAAGGGGCTCTACTTCTATGTGAAAAGAAATAGGAAAATGCTCATTCTATATATCTTTAATTTTATGTGAAAAGAAGTAGCTTGTGAGGTGTGTTATGTTAACGTTGAACTAATTTATATATGTGTGTGTCTTTATGTAATGTCAATCAATATATATATAAGCCTTGTTTGTCACAAAACTTCATTCTATATATCTTTAATTTTTTGTGTTGGTTTTGCATCATTTTTCTTGTTAGTTTTCTATCTTTACAAAATATTAAAAATGTTGTCGGTAATTTATAACTTAAATATTTATGCTCAAGTAACTAAAAAACTATCTTAATTTGAAATGTTCAATGCCCTCTTAACCTTGATCAATGTCCTATCTTTTTTGACAAATCTGATCAATGTCCTATCTTAAGCTAGATCGACATTATAAATCACTTTGCCATATACTGTATGCAGATTTTCTGCAATCATTTTAAGTCCAGCCTTTTTTTATTTCCAGCATAGATTATGGTAATTTAGAATGCAAAGATCAAGTGCTCATTATCTCTTGAGCTTATTATTTATGCTTATTGTAATTTGGTTATCTTGTTAGGTGCAGATATTAGGGCAGAAAATACCTCAAACTCCATCTATAATTATGCAATTAGCTTGCCAAATTTAGCGATAAGGAACCTCTCATGAATGCTGCTGGTAATGTTCTTGAGGCCTCAATTTTATGAGGCACTTATGCTCTAGAAGCAGCTTGCTCCTTCCATTTTTAAGTATACAAGTCATCTGTATTTCTTGTAATGAAAGGAAAAAAAATCTAGACAACTTTCTCAGCCAAAAAATTAAAATTGCGTTGTTCTGAACATATTTAAGAGTAGGACAGGACTTGGCGTAGGGGTGTGGTTGCACTATTGTGATTTAGGTATTATGGGTTATTCTTTGAACATTTCTATAGGTTCTAAAATTGTCGAAATTTATGATCAGTATTGATTACTAATATTGTTGTGATTAACTGAAGGTATAAATTAATATACTTGACATTGGTCATCTACGTATTTTTCACCTCATGTTTTCAAGGTGTTGGAAGTGATTCATTTTGCTGTTATCATTCTACAGATTGCTTTCAGATAACTTACACATGTAATCATTTTAATGTAGGTTCACATGGCTCTTGATATAGTTGATCAGATGTTCGAAGCAGGTTTAACCTTATCAATAGAAACATTTCATTCCATATTACATGCATGCGGGGAGGGTTGTGACTACAACTTGGTACAACATCACTAGTTTTTAATTTCTCACTTTTCTAAATCTGATTATGTTTCTCTCAGATCTATCAGCTACCAACTCCTTTTCTCTTTCCATTATTGTACCCTTTTGGTTGTTCTATTTCAGTTCAAAACATGAGTAAAGAAAAGTTCTTGAAGATCCAGGTACTCTTTTATAAATGATATATATACTTACATACATATATGTATATATATATATATAGGCATTCCCACACTATTACGTTGTTTTCTTGAAATGCTTTGCTTGTTTTAATGGAAGTTTAATTGTGTCCTCTTTAACATGCCAGACCAAAATTACAAAGTTCAGATCATCCTGATTTTCCAACAGTGACCTGTTCATTGTAACCAAAAAGATGGTTGGCAATGTTCATATATATATATAGATAGATAGATATACATCTTGGAAGTTGTTTAGTGATCTGGGCACAAACCACTATTCTGGTGTGGCTTAATACACATACATACAAATTGGGGGTTTAATGCCACATATTTAGCTTCAAAAGGAACATCTCTGCTTTCCAAATTTTATAGATGGTTTATTTACTTTTTTTGTTTTAAAAATGACATTAATTGTTACTTGCATGGACAAAGGAAATATTACTTGCGTGGATTTGGCATAGGCCAACAACCCTCTTCCATATCTGATACTGCGGCACGAGCTTCATTTTGGTTCTTCAGCTGCAATGGGTATTTGAGGTACTTCTCCAATTCTTCAATTCTCCAATTCTTTAAATTAATAGTGAATAGAGTAGTTTAATGGTTGTCAATAATCCTTTGGTCACAGTTGTATATAACCATTTAGATTTAACTAACAGACTCCATGTATTAGTTTGAATACATCATGGTTAATGTAAAAGAAATCAAATAAACTGCTAATGTTTTTTGCTGCAAATAATATCAGAGCTTTCTTGGTGGAAAATGTATGAATGATACTCTCATAAGTTTGTGGAAGAGAAACAAATGTGTAAGAATAGGAGCTGCTATTAGACATCACTTTGAGCCAATTGCCTCCGGTCTCATAGAAACCAAAGAAATTGTCTGTTTTTCTTTTTCTTTTTTCCTTTAAAGGTCTAGAATTGTATATTCTTTTATTACATCTTTTATATCCTGCTTGAGTGGAAAGTAATGCTGTGAACTGCTCCATATATGTGTGGTTAATTTATTTTTTTTCTTAAAGAAAAGCCAAAAATCTTGATTTCTTTTTTGTTTTCATTGATCAGTTTGACAAATCTTAGAAACATGTGTCCTGTTTGTAAATTTTAAGAAACATATGAACCTTAGATAAATGTAAGGTCAAAAGAATCTGTGACAACTGAATGTAGTTGTATGCCTACATAAACATGTCATTTCATTTTTACTCAAACTTATCTATTTACTTTGACAACTTTCTTTAACTTACTTAAACTTAGTCGAAAAAAGGCGTTTCGGGGATGAAAATTCAAAACAACCCCCGAACCACCGTGTGGCCCGCACGGACAGCTTCCCCTTGACAAATAGGATAAGTCATAGAAAATTCCCTATAAGGATAAGTCATAGAAAATTCCCTTAAAAAGCGAGTTTCGGGGCGAAAATTGAAAACAGCCCCCGAACGACCGTATGGCTCACATGGACAGTTTGCCCATGACAAATAGGACTTGTGACAATTGACGGAACGTCATTCGGACCCGTAGGTAGAGAGTTAGAGCCGAATACGGCCTAAACTTACTCGAAAAACAGCTTTCCGGGGGCAAAAATTCATAACAGCCCCCGAAGTTATGAATTGTGTGTTTAAGATTTGTGTGTTTATTGTCCAATAGTTATGTCTACCTCTACAAACTTATAGAAGAAATTTGAAATTTACTTTAGTTGTTTGGAAGCCCTGTGAATTTGAAATTGTTTCATTTGATATTCTTTCATGTTGACTGATTCTGTTTCTCTCTCTGTCTCCCCCAAATTCTCCCTCAGTGAGCACTAATCCATTCATGAGTGTGGATAATTTTAAATTGACTGAAAAGGGTCATCCAAGTCACCCGTATGTAGATCTCTTGATGTCTCTCTCTAATAGGTCATAACTTTTCCAAAGTTTAGAACCTTCTGCAGAGTGATAATGTACAAGGGGTTCCAACAATATTGTGGTGTGATGTGATAATGTTGCATGTTTTAGGGTAGCTTACAACACTTATGATCATGGAAGAAAATAGTTCAACAAGTTCTATGGAAACAAAATAACATTTATGCACATATGTTATTAAGTTGAACTGTAACGCCATCAACCATTACACTATGTGTACTTATGAATTACAGCAATGATTTTAGAATTTATACCAGACAAAACCAAAATTTATACACCATAACTTAGTCCGAACCCATAGGTTTGGAGTTAGAGCCGAATACGCCCAAAACTTACTCGAAAAAGGGCGTTTCGGGGCGAAAATTGAAAACAACCCTTGAACGACCGTGTGGCTGACACGGACAGCTTCCCCATGACAAATATGACTTGTGACAACTGATGAAATGTAATTCAGACTCGTAGGTTAGGAGTTAGAGCCGAATATGTCCAAAACTTAGTCGAAAAAGGGCATTTCGGGGGCAAAAATCCAAAACAACTCCCGAACCACTGTGTGGCTTACACAGGCAGCTTCTCCATGACAAATAGGACTTGTGAGAATTGACGAAATGTAATTCGGACCCGTAGGTTGGGAGTAAAAGCCGAATACGCCCAAAACTTACTCGAAAAAGGGCATTTCGGGGGCAAAAATTCAAAACAACCACCGAACCGCCGTGTGACTCTCACGGGAATTTTCCCCATGACAAATAGGATTTGTGAGAACTGACGGAATGTTATTCGAACCCGTAGGTTGGGAGTTAGAGCCGAATACGCCCAAAACTTACTCGAAAAAGGGCGTTTCGGATGCGAAAATTCGAAACAGCCCCGAACCACTGTGTGACTTTCACGAGAAGCTTCCCCATGAAAAATAGGACTTATGACAACTGATGGAATGTAATCCGGATTCGTAGGTTGGGAGTTAGAGCCGAATACGCCCAAAACTTACTCGAAAAATGGCATTTCGGGGGCGAAAATTCAAAACAGCCTCCAAACGACTGTGTGACTCTCACGAATAGCTTCACCATGACAAATAAGACTTGTGACAACAGACGGAACGTAATTCGGACTCGTAAGCAGAGAGTTAGAGCGGAATACGCCTTAAACTTACTCAAAAAAGAGTTTTTCGGGGGCAAAAATTCATAACAGCCCCCAAACGACCGTGTGGCTCACACGGATAGCTTCACCATGACAAATAGGACTTATGAGAACTAACGGAACGTAATTCGGACCCCTAGGTTGGGAGTTAGAGCCACATACGCCCTAAACATAGTCGAAAAATGGGCATTTCGGGGCAAAAATTCTAAACAGCCCCCGAACCACTATGTGGCTCACATGGACAGTTCCCCCATGACAAATAGGACTTGTGAGAACTGACGGAACATAATTCGGACCCGTAGGTTGGGAGTTAGAAACGAATACGCTCTAAACTTAGTCGAAAAATGGCGTTTCAGGGGCGAAAATTCAAAACAGCTCCTGAACGACCATGTGGCTCACACAGATAGCTTTTTCATGACAAATAGGACTTGTGAGAACTGACGGAATGTAATTCGGACTCGTAGGTTGGGAGTTAGAGGCGAATACGCTCTAAACTTAGTAGAAAAAGGCTGTTTCGGAGGCAAAAATTCAAAACAGCCCCCGAATGACAGTGTGGCTCACACGAATAGCTTTGCCATGACAAATAAGACTTGTGAGAATTGACGAAACGTAATTCGGACCTGTAGGTTGGGAGTTAAAGCCGAATACGCCCTAAACTTAGTTGAAAAATGACGTTTCGGGGGAAAAAATTTAAAACAACCCCCGAACGACCGTGTGGCTCGCACGGATAGCTTCGCCATGACAAATAAGACTTGTGAGAACTGATGGAACGTAATTCAGACCCTTAGGTTAGGAGTTAGAGCCGAATACGTCCTAAACTTAGTCGTAAAAGAGCGTTTCGGAGGTGAAAATTCAAAACAGTCCCCGAACGATCGTGTGGCTCACACGGATAGTTTCGCCATGACAAATAGGACTTGTGAGAACTGATGAAACATAATTCGGACCCATAGGTTGGGAGTTAGAGCCGAATATGCCCTAAACTTAGTCAAGAAAAGGCATTTCAAGGCGAAAATTCAAAACAACCCCCGAACAATCCTGTGGCTCGCACGGATAGCTTCTCCATGACAAATAGGACTTGTGAGAACTGACGGAATGTAATTCGGACTTGTAGGTTGGGAGTCAGAGCCGAATACACCGTAAACTTAGTCGAAAAAGAGTGTTTCGGGGGCGAAAATTCAAAACAGCCCCCGAACGACTGTGTGGCTTGCACGGATAGCTTCGCCATGACAAATAGGACTTGTGAGAACTGATGGAATGTAAATCAGACCCGTAGGTTGAGAGTTAGAGTCGAATATGCCCTAAACTTAGTCAAAAAAGGGCGTTTCGGGGGCGAAAATTCAAAACAGCCCCCGAACGGCCGTGTGGCTCACACGAATAGCTTCTCCATGACAAATAGGACTTGTGAGAACTGACGAAATGTAATTTGGACCCGTAGGTTGGGAGTTAGAGCTGAATAGGCCCTAAACTTAGTCGAAAAAAGGCGTTTCGGGGGCGAAAATTCAAAACAGCCCCCGAACGACCGTGTGGCTAACACAAATAGCTTCGTCATGACAAATAGGACTTGTGAGATCTGACGGAACATAATTCGGATCCGTAGGTTGGGAGTTAGAGCCAAATATGTCCTAAACTTACTCGAAAAAAGGCTTTCCTGGGACAAAAATTCATAACAGCCCCCGAATACGCCTTACACTTAGTCGAACAACTTGCAACACTTAGTTAAAAAAACAACAACTTTATTAAAATAACATCTACATATTCTAATAATTGCCTTATATATTTATAAGATGAAGAAATTACATATTACATTTTTTGTGCAGTTGGTTGGAATAAATATTGCATGATACATATATATATATGTACTTTCTTTTATTTCCAAGAAGACATTTCTCGATTGTTCTACCTTAAATGCATGTTAGAACATGTTCCATATGGCTGACTGAATTTATATTTTGTAACCAATTCTAATATTTCGTTTTTTGTTTTTCTTTGTAGATAGCTTTGTTGCGTGGACTTGTGGATAATCTATATTGGTGTATGGAGAAGAATTTTCACTTTTGTGTAGAACTAATATAACACTTTTGTCGTCCTCAACTTTTGTGTAGTTCATTATTATCGATACAGAAAATTTTTGGCAATCAACAAATAATGACTGTCATGATACATAGATCACCTTCTGTCGTGGTACATATATACCATTTGTCGGTGTACATATAGGACATTTTGTCATGGTCCATAGAAAACTTTTGTCGTGGTACATATATCACTTTTTGTTGTGGTACAGATTACGGTAATTTGTACCATGCCAAATGGTAATTTCGCTTGGTAGTAAATGTATTTTTTTGTATACGGAGGGTTTTGATTTTTGTATGATATATTTTGTATGGAATTATTATTTTAGTTTGGACAATAGTTGATTTGTATGGACTTTGATATTTAATGTTATTTATTTTTGGTATATGAATGCTGATTGTGGAATGATTGATAGTATGCATCATTTTGTTTTTATACGTATTACCGATTGCATTGTATATAGACAGGTTGTGGAGAAATTATAATTTCGCAATAAAACATAACATCATGTTTTTGACAACTAAACAATTAGTGGCTAAAAAGAAATTGGGAAAAGACATTTGGCGACTAAAAGTTTTATAACAAAAAAAAAAGACATTTAGCAACTAAAAGTTTAGTAGCCAAAAAGAAAAAAAAATAGACATTTGGCGACTAAAACTTTAGTAGCCAAAAGAAATAAAACATTTGGCGATTAAAATATTTCGTAGCTAAAAACAAAAAACAAA